AAAGAAAGAAAGAAAGAAAGAAAGAAAGAAAGAAAGAAAGAAAGAAAGAAAGAAAGAAAGAAAGAAAGAAAGAAAGAAAGGGAAGAAAGAAAGAAAAGTACAACTTGAGAGGCTAGAGGGATGGATGGCTCAGCAGTTAAGACAGCATACTACTCTTGAGAGGACCTGGGTTCGGTTCCCAGTACCCACATCAGGCCACTCAAAATCACTTTTAGCTGTAGCTCCAGGGGAATCTGACACCTCTGGCCTTCCAAGGACACCTACACTCATGTGCACATACCCATACAGAGACACACAATTAAAATAACTTTTTTTAAAAAGAAGTACAACTGAGGGGCCAGCTAAATGACTGAGTGTAAAGACACTTGCCACCAGCCCTGTAGACTTGAGTTCCTTCCCTGGAATCTGGTTCCACATGATGGAAGGAGAGAACCAACTCCCCCTAAAGTTGTCCTCTGACCTTCACATGCATGCTATAGTATGCACGTGCACCTATGCGCACTTGTGCACGCGCGTGCACGTGCGAGCACACACACACAGACACACACACACCAAAGTAATTAGCAGTGTTGCAAAATATAAGGGGCTGGAGAGATGGCTCAGCGGTTAAGAACACTGGTTGTCTTGCAGAAGACCCGGGTTCGAATCCCAGCACCCACATGGCAGCTAACAACTGTCCATAACTCCAGTCCCAGGGGATCTGACAGCCTCTTCTGACCTCCGCGGGCATTGCACAACACAGGTGCACTTACCTACATGCAGGCAATACACGCATACACATAAAATTAAAAAATACACACACACACACACGCACACACACATATATATAGTACAATTCAAGAGTCGGGGATATAGCTCAGCAGTAGAATGCTTCCCTAGTTTCTATAAGTCCCTCCATTCAATCCCCAGCACCAAAAAAAGGAAGAAAAAAAGTATTTGTAAAGCAAACAGTCAGAAGTGCTGACTAAGACTAAATTCCCTTCCCCTGTTTAAAGTGCCGGGCTCGCCAGGCTCAGTTTTCAGTCTCCTTTTATTCCGAACATAACAAAATAAGCTTTACATTCATTTTTTTTCCTATGTGTATTGCTTCTGAAATCTTTACATTTTATAAGAAATTTAAACATTCAAACAAGATATTTTAAGCAAATATTGGTAGAAAACAAAAAGGACCACTCAGTAGCAAATGTTTTGATGTTACAGTACACTGTCCAAATTTAAACAAGGAAAACAATATTTATATAGTGATACTTTCAAAGAAAAAAATGCAATTTACCTTGAAGTATTGTCAAAATTACTAATGTGCATACAGAATATTTTGTCTGACAGGATCTTTTTTCCAAGTAAATTCCCAAATTGTCCCATTTCCAATACAAATGCTGACAAGGTGACTCTGAACAAAGAATGTAGGTTAAACACTTGATATATTTAGCATTTAGATTTCATTTGATAATCTCATTGGTGCAAGGGAAGATAGAATAATCAGTCAAGGGGATAAAGTGACTTTCAAGTTGCTTAATTTTTTTAATTAATTTTTTTTTGAGATGGCCTTGAACCCAAGATCCTTCTGCCTCATCTCCCAAGTGCTGCGTGTGTGCCACCATGCCCGGCTCCCTAATTTTTAGCTTATTAATTAAACGTTCATGAAAGGGAGTGTCTTAATCACAATGTCAAACATTTTATAACATGAATATCTGTTCTAATCTGTAAATCTGTAAGATAGTCAATGAAACTGCCTTTTTGGAGTCATAAGATTATTACACTTGAATAAAAATTAACTTCAATTGTTTGAGAAACAAAGCAGTACAGTGGAAAGACTGCTAAGCAAGAAATCAGACAACATAGCTCTAAGCTTGCCTTTGCTCTACTAGGATTTGACCATCAGAAAGTCTCTAACATCATTTTTCTCATTTGTTGCCAGGTGTGGTGGTGTGGCGCATGCCTTGATTCCCAGCAGAGGCAGAGGCAGAGGCAGGCAGATCTCTGTGAACTCAAGACCAGCCTGGTCTACATAGAGAGTTCCAGTCCAGTTGTGGCTACAAGGAGACCCCGTCTCATAAAAAAGACACAAAAACAAAAAAGCAAAAAAACTCATTTTTCTCATTTGTAAAATGATCCAGGTAGCCTCATTTATTGAATTTTATGGAATTATCTGAAAATCAAGTGGATTATTTCTAAAGGCTTTGTAAGTGCAGAAAGCATTATACAAATGTGGCTTTGATACCAGCTGCTCCTGAGGGTACCACTGTATTTTCAAAGAGTGGGAATTTCGTTTTCTTGTGTTCTTTTATTTCAGTGCAGAGGGAGCAGAAGATGCTGTGTGTTTTCATGGATCCAGGGGACTTCTTGGCAGATGCTTGTCCTCTGCCCTTTTATCCTGATTCACTATTTCTCCAAAACATAAACAACTGGGCAGGAAGTCCAATCAAAAAGTGGTATTTGAGCCCGGCTTGGTGGCACACACCTTTAATCCCAACACTTGGGAGGCAGAGGCAGGCGGATCTCTATGAGTTCAAGGCCAGCCTGGTCTACATAGTGAGTTCAGGTCATCTGGGACTGCAGGGAGACCCTGTTTCAAAAAGACAAAAAAAAAAAAGTCATATTTGACAGTGTTTTGTGCATCTTTGAACTCACTATGTAGATGTAGTTTCAAATGTTAGTACTTGTATATTTTCTACGTTTGTGTATTTTTCATAGTGCTTATGAAAAGAATATAAATTATATCACTATAAAGGTTTTGAATTTTATATCGCCAACATTTTTTATAGTCTCAGGCCATTTCGTGGGAATGAATTCAAACTGTCCTCCCCCTCATGTGAAGTAGTCTACTTTCACTGTTATAATTCTAAATATCATATGATCTTCCATCAGTTCAAAATTGTATAACCTCACCTCAAATGCTGAATATCTAACAATTTAAAATACAGACACCTGTGCTATTTATTAAGTTAAACAGCTGAAATGTAAAATGTGAGTTAAGTTTCAATGGACACCATTTATAAAAGTAATGCTGGTGGGGCTGGAGAGATGGCTCAGCAGTCAAGAACACTAGTTGTTCTTGCAGAAGACCAGGGTTTGAATCCCAGCACCCACATGGCAGCTAACAACTGTCCATAACTCCAGTCCCAGGGGATCCGATGGCCTCTTCTGACCTCCACAGGCATTGTATATGACACAGATGCACTTACCTACATGCAAGCAATATATGCATACACATAAAATAAAATAAAAAATAAATAAATAAAAAGTAATGCTGGTGAAGATGAAAATTTGGTCGAAGGGGTAGGATGCGTTCCCACACTCAGAATAGGATTAGGAAGCTGGGATAAACAAACAGAAGGCAGGGCCCCAAAAGTTGATGCTTGCACCAGCAGAAGCAATTCTAGAACTCTGATCTCATGCAACACTTTTGATTACCAAGCTCATGTGTGTATGTATGTATGTGTGTGTGTGTATGCATATACAGCTGAGGAATGTGAGAGAAAAAATATGACCTAACTGAATCAACAAAATACTAAACTTGAGCTAAAAAGCTTTTATTTTATAGAGGACCTATTAACAATTACAAAGTTATGAGTTCTTAAGATTGCCAAACATAAGTATACCCTTAGCCCAAAATCTATTGATTTATATACATTATATATATACAGATATATATAATAACTGACCTATTTTTATGTATTGTTAGAGAGAACATGGACAGTAATGCCAAAATAGTAAAAATATTTGCTTTAGGCAAAAACATTTTGACCAGGTTTCTTAGAAATCTGATCAACTTGATTTTATATTAAAATTACCCCATTTAAGTTGTATTTAATTGTAATACTAATAAGTTATGTAGCTTATTACCAAATATTTTCTTATAAATTTTTTAATGAACAAGAATTACCTATCCCATTGTAGGATAAACTTCTCCCTGGCAGAAATTACTCATTATGAGCAGCGTTAAAACTTCCAGTGCATGGTGAGGCTGGAGAGATGGCTCAGTAGTTAAGAGCACTGGTTGCTCTTGCAGAGGACCTGGGTTTGGTTCCCAGCACTCACATGACAGCTAACAACCATCTGTAACTCCAGTTCCAGGGGATCCAATGCCCTCTTCTGTCCTCCATGGGCATTGCACAACATGGTTGCATTTACATACATGTAGGCAATACAACCATACACATTAAAAATAAAAGTAGTGCTGGGCATGGTGGCGCACACCTTTAATCCCAGCACTTAGGAGTCAGAGGCAGATGGATCTTTTGTGAGTTCGAGGCCAGCCTGGTCTACATAGTGAGTTCCAGGACAAGTGGAGCTACAGGGAGACCCTGTCTCAAAAAGACAAAAAATAAATAATAAATAAATAAATAAATAAATAAAGTAAATAAAATATTTTAAGAGCTTTCAGTGCATGAAATGTGATCATTCAGAACCAAATTCAGTTCCCAACACCCATGTCAGGCAGCTTACAACAGCTTGTAACACCAGCTCTAGGGGGTCTGATGCCCTCTCCTGGCCTCCAAGGGTACCTGCACATATGTACCATACTCATACAGACACATATACACATAAATGAAAATAAATGTTGCGGGTTCTTCTCAGGCCAGCTGTGAAGACCCTAACCTGGATCGGGTCCCCTGCCGATTAGGGGGTAAGAGGCGTGGGGTCACGACACACAGACCCCAGAGTTGGGTAGAAGCAAGCACTAGGTGAGGTGCTGCAGGCTCGTTTAATACAGGAGGAGGCACACCTTATATCTCCCTTTTCTCCGCCCCCAAGTCCCTTTAGTCAGCATATCGTTTTCTGATTGGTCCAGGCCATGCAGTCTGTCAGCAGTCATTGGTCTCGCGAGCAGGGTATGTGAGCAGGGTATAGAGGCGTGGGCTCCTTTTGGCAGGCTATTTGTGGACCAAGAA